TCCCCCCCCGGGGGGTCCCGCCAGCAGGGTAGTGCAGCCCCACCCCCCCCCAACACACTCCTGTCCTGAGTCCCCCCCACCTCTCAGCCCACTGCCCTGAGCCTCCCGTTCCCTGCCCCCCTGGGGTCATTCTCCAGTGTAACTGTCCCAGCTATCAACCCCCTCCCTTTCCCTGTTGTGGAACACACTCGGATTCCAGGCACATCCCATTGTCCTGGCACAACCAAACCACATTTGGGATGCAGCTTCCTCTTCCCCTAACTCAAAGCAAGGTCAGGGAAGTTGGGCCACGGTTCCCAGCCTCTCCTCGGGGGAAGGGGGTCCCCTCGCGGGAGAGGGGGTTGGGGCATGCTTCCTGGCCTGAGGGTCTGCTGGGGAGAGAGGTTACGGTGGCAAGGCCAGTACGCAGGGTTTCCAGCAGGACCAGTGGGTGGGGTGCTCCCCCTGGCCTCCAGCACAATTTGGAGCAGTGGGGCTCCAGTGGCTGGAAACGTGGAAATCTTGATCCCTTGCTGGTGTGGCCACCCCCTGTGCTCACTCTGCAGTATCGCTGTCCCCCATGCTTGCTGGCCTCAGTGCTTTCCCTGCAGTATCGCTGTTCCTTTGATCAACCCCCCTGCTTTTCCATGTGATAGAACACAATCCTATTCCAGGCACTTCTCATTGTCTTGGCACAACCCCACCCCGACCTTGCTTTCAGCTAGGAAAAGAGGAAGCTGCCTCCCAAATTTGATTTGGTTGTGCGAGGACAGTGGGACGTACCAGGCATCAGATTGTAAAAACTTTAAAAAAAAAACAAATAGTCCTGCAGCACCTTACAGACTATCAAAAAATGTCCAGGAGGCCCCCGAGATGCGACCACTCGAGTTTTGACCCTCCGCACTTACAACTATTTTTGTAAGTATAGAAGGGGCTGGAAAACCCTGTATTTACAATGGCGCATGGCATCTACTGTCAATGCGGGTTCGAGTTATGAAGCCCCTGACTAGCGACGCTTCCTCCAGAACCAATAGCGTTGGAAGTCGGGGGCCGTCTGTAGATGGCATCATGAACTTTCATGGGCACAAACCTCTTCTTCACATAATAGACTTTAGAGTGTCCAAGTTCCAAATATACTGGGGTACATCTACACTAGCTTGTTAGTTAGAGCTAGGTAGGGTAATGAAGGCGCCCGGAAACATGCAAATGAAGCCCAGGATTTAAATATCCCGGGCTTCATTTGCATGTTTCCGGGCGCCACCATTTTTAAATCCCCCTTAGTCCGAACTCTCTGCCCGCGGCTACACATGACACAGAGTAGGTAGTTCGAATTAAAGATCCTAATTCGAACTACCATTATGCCTCGTGGAATGAGAAGTAACAGTAGTTCAAATTAGGATCTTTAATTCAAACTACCTACTCCGTGCCGCCTGTAGCCGCGGGCACAGAGTTTGAACTAAGGGGGATTTAAAAATGTCGGCGCCCAGGAACATGCAAATGAAGCCCGGGATATTTAAATCCCGGGCTTCATTTGTAACTCCGCTTGCCTTCATTACCCTACCTAGGTCAAACTAACGAGCTAGTGTAGATATACCCTTGCAGAGAAAGAGAGGGGATGGGGAGGGAAAGAACAGGAGGAAAAATGGAAGAAGACTACTCAGTTAGATTGTCCATGTTAAATGAAGCTGATAGAGAGGGTTATAATTAGTCTTAAATACCTGGTGTTTGGCTTTTTATGTCATTAGAATCATGGATTCAAAGGGCTGGAAGAGACCTCAGGAGGTCATGAAGTCCAGCCCCCTGCCCATTAGGATGTGGAATGTAGTGGGTAATCCAGTTGAGGTCTTTGTTTAAACCTCTGTTGTAGGAATCAAACTTGGAAATGAAATTAAGTTCTGTAGCTTCTCTTTCAGGATGGTTTGAGATCCATTAGCGGGTGCCCAGGCAAGTTAAATGGTTCCCAACAGGTTTCTGTGTGTGCCTTGATGGCACGTGTCACATTAGTGTCTGTGCCTTTGTATGTGCTTCTGACATGATGGCTTAAGTGGATAGGTCCTGGGATGATGTGGCTTGTGCAGATGTGTGGACAGAGTTGGCACCGGAGTGGATTGCAGGGCTGGGTACTGGGGTGGGTATGATGGAAATGCGCTGTGTGGTTGCTGGAAAGAATTTTAGTTTTAAGAATGCTTGATTTTATTTTAGGTTAAAGAATGCTTGGTCTAGATCCTGTAGGTGTTTATCTCTGTCTGTACAATTGGAGCAAACCCAGTTGCATCTTAGGGCCAGGTTTGTATGTTACCTAAGAGTAACCTGTGAACCGGGCAGCTCTGTACAGGACAAAATACTAACCATGCTGCCTGAGTGAACACTGACCATCTCCCCAGACAACCCCACCTTGAAAACACACGGATGGAAGCAACAAACCAACCAACAGCCTACTTGTTCAAAAAAATTACCCACTGAAATATGAAGCAGAAGCAAAAATCAAATGTCTACTGCACAGATACTGCATTTCTTTGCTTCAGCATCCAGGAGATCCACTAAGACTTTGTTACGGATACAGATTTTCTATCCAAGGTTCTCAGATAGCATGGGATTGGGATGCATTATAGTATCCTGAAGTAGGTAGGTAGGTAGGTAGGTAGGTAGGTAGATAGATAGATAGATAGAGGGGGTGTGTGGGGATAGATAGATAGATAGATAGATAGAGGGGGTGTGTGGGGATAGATAGATAGATAGATAGATAGAGGGGGTGTGTGGGGATAGATAGATAGATAGATAGATAGAGGGGGTGTGTGGGGATAGATAGATAGATAGATAGATAGAGGGGGTGTGTGGGGATAGATAGATAGATAGATAGATAGAGGGGGTGTGTGGGGATAGATAGATAGATAGATAGATAGAGGGGGTGTGTGGGGATAGATAGATAGATAGATAGATAGAGGGGGTGTGTGGGGATAGATAGATAGATAGATAGATAGAGGGGGTGTGTGGGGATAGATAGATAGATAGATAGATAGAGGGGGTGTGTGGGGATAGATAGATAGATAGATAGATAGAGGGGGTGTGTGGGGATAGATAGATAGATAGATAGATAGAGGGGGTGTGTGGGGATAGATAGATAGATAGATAGATAGAGGGGGTGTGTGGGGATAGATAGATAGATAGATAGATAGAGGGGGTGTGTGGGGATAGATAGATAGATAGATAGATAGAGGGGGTGTGTGGGGATAGATAGATAGATAGATAGATAGAGGGGGTGTGTGGGGATAGATAGATAGATAGATAGATAGATATGGGGTGTGTGGGGATGGATAGATAGATAGATTTTGTTATTATTTACAGTGGTATACATTTACGGTTGCTCCTTTTACTTGATCAGTGTTTCCATTTTGCCACTGCAAATACACCTTTGTGCATAACAAGATGGCAAACCCTGCTCTCATGCAGACATTACTCTCCTCATTTCATTTATACAAAAAGAAACGGGATGAAATTAAAATCAGAGGTGAAACACAGACATTTTCTGTGCCAGGGATAACCTCCTTCCAATCAATTTCAGCAGGGCAGCTTTGATCTCCTTGTTCCTCATGCTGTAGATGACGGGGTTCAGCACAGGAGGCACTACAGAATAGAAAATGTCTACTATGAGGTCCAGGAGGGATGTGGTGCTGGAGGTGGGTTTCAGGTAGGCAAAGGCACCAGTTAAAATAAACAAAGAGACCACAGAGATGTGGGGGAGGCAGGTGGAGAAGGCTTTGTGCCGGCCTTGCTCCGAGGGGATTCTCAGCACCGCTCTGAAGATATGAACGTACGACACAACAATAAAAACAAAGCAACTGACGACTAAGCAGGCACTAAAGATAATAACCCCATTTTCACTGCGGTTGGAGTCAGGGCAGGCCAGTTTGAGGAGCTGGGGGATACCACAGAAGAACTGATCCACCACGTGGCCTCCACAGAAGGAGACGGCAAACGTGTTCCCGGTGTGCAGGGCAGAGTAGAGCAAACTAGTGACCCAGGTGCTGGTGGCCATATGGACACAGGCTCTCCAGTTCATGATTCTCTCATAGTGCAGCGGGTGGCAGATGGCCACATACCGGTCATAGGCCATGATTGTCAGTATGCCTAAATCAGATGAACAAAAGAACATGAATAGAAAGACTTGGGCGACACAGGCAGGGTAGGAAATCACTCTGGTGTCCATGAGGGAGTTGGCCATGGATTTGGGGATGGTGACGGAGATGGAGCTGAGGTCTAGGATGGACAGGTTCCCCAGAAAGAAGTACATGGGGGTGTGCAGACGATGGTCGAGGGCTATGACTGTGATGATGAGAAGGTTCCCCACCAAGCCCACCAGATATATCACCAGAAACAGCACAAAGTGCAAAATCTGCAGCTCCTGGACGTCAGAGAAGCCCAGGAGCAGGAACTCGGCCATGTTGGTTTGGTTGGGCATTTCCTTCCTCAGTACGTCCTGTGAGGGCTGCAGAGGGAAGGAGATGGGGAGGGTCAGGTTTCAAATGTCAGAGGAAGCAACCCTGACTCTCGGCTCACTAAAATTTCACGTCTCAATGTTAATCCCGCACAAGAAGGGGTCAGTGCCCTGAGCGCAGCCAATCAGACTCTGTGGGAGTCAAGGTGGGAGACGTAAGACCTGTGACATAGGAGAGAGAGACAAGATTACCTCCACCAGCCAGCCTCACCCACCTCCTCTCCTTCACGTCCTGGGACTGACAGGGACCAACCACTGCTGACACGGAGACTTCTCGGGTGCATTATCGCACTGGTGTGAACTGGGGTCACTCCCTTAGATTCAGGGGGATTGAATCACTTTACACGACGTGCGGATCTGGCCCAAGGCATCCCTGGATCAAATGCATAAAAGACAAGAACAAATTACAGCCCAAGCCCATAGAGGCAACAGAGGAGAAACTTGAGCAAGAAACTCAAACACTAGAACCCCAAGCAAGATTCCCACGTTCTCGGGTAATATGGCAGACTCTCTGCGCATCACAAATCCCAGATTGACTCATCTGATTTCTTTTGGCCCAATCCTCTAATTTGTCTAGGTTACTCTGGACCCTATCCCTACCTTCCAGCATATCTACCTCTCCCCCAAGCTTAGTGTCATCTGCCAACTTGCTGAAGGTGCAATCCATCCCCTCATCCAGGTCATTAATAAAGATATTGAACAAAACTGGCCCTGAAACCGAACCCTGGGGCACTCCGCTAGAAACCGACTGCCAACCTGACATCGAGCCATTGATCATTACCCATTGGGCCCGACAATCTAGCCAGCTTTCTATCCATCTTACAGTCCATTTATCCAATCCATACTTCCTTACCTTGCTGGCAAGAATACTGTGGGAGATCGTCTCAAAAGTTTCGCTAAAATCAAGGCATATCATGGCCACCACAATCCCAACACAACAATTCTACCAAGACGGATCCCCTCATCCTACAAACAGCAGGCTCTGGACTCAAGCGTGAAACTAAAATGCTAAAATACCGACTCCGCCTGCTCTCCGCTTTCTGCAGAACTCTGACATAAACGAACTCAGGAGCTTGCATGACAGCTCCCATGGAACGGTTCCTCTGTCACGCTGCAGGGACGTCCGGCTGCCTGCTTACGAATTAAGTTAGGACACAAGATTCCACTTCCAGCTCTGGGCACCGATGGGCTTGTAACAGGGTGACCATATTTCCCTAGGCTGACTACGGGACTCCTGGTCCAGTTGCTCACATTCCAGTGAGCTCAACAGCAACCAATTGTAAAAGCATTCAAATTAACATCAAGCTGACCGAATGCCTGTTTACTTGGCTGAATACTTGGCGTCCTTTTATTGACTTTCTGACCTATAAGGCTTGTGTTTAAAGTGTTGAAAGGCAGCTCACACCTCCAGGTTACTGCTGGCCACCAAGATAACCCAACCACCTCCTCTCCTCTGGCTATAGCGCAGGCAGGACGGGGTTAAGCCCTAAGGACGCTTTCAGCACCAGGACCCGGGGAACCTGGCTACATGGTCGTCAACCCACCAAACCAAGGAAGTGGCTCACCATGGCAGGGAGCCCTGGGAGTGGAGCAAGGCCATGGGAGTGGGGTGGGAGTGGTTAAAGAGGATGCTAAGTCCCTGCGCTATTTAGGACAAGAAACAATGGGCTTAAATTTCAGCAAGGGAGGTTTAGGTTGGACATTGGAAAAAAACTTCCCAACTGTCAAGGAATAAATTGCCTAAGGAGTTGTGGAATCTCCATCTCTGGAGATATTTAAGAGCAGATTAGACAGACACATGTCAGGGATGGTCTAGATGGCCCTGCCGTTAAGGCAGGGAACTGGACTCAATGACCTTTCGAGGTCCCTTCCAGTTCTAGTGTTCTGTGATTCTGTGATGCTATCAGAGGCTCAGACACCTGCCCATCTTTTAATGATCTAGGCCATCAAGTGCCGGCAATGCCTCTCTGCCATGTCTGCCAAACTGGCCAGTTTCTGTGACAAAGGAGAAAGGGCACAAATCAGACTTCAGGAATGGGAACACAAATAAACCTGTTGGGGAACATTATAACTGGCCCGGTCAAACAATTATGGATTTAAAAGTCACCATTCCTGTACAAGGCAATGTCACCAGCCAGTTACAGAGAGGCTCTGCTTAACTGGAATTCATCTACCGATGTGACACCTTTACCCCAGGCTTGAACAAAGACATTAATTGATGGGCGTGTTACAAAGCTAATATCTCCTGCCTCTAACAATCGCATTTCTACATCAAAAGCCATGTATGGGACACATCCAACCCACTTAATTAGCCTCATTAACAGGGGTCCTACCATGGACAGGGACTCTTGGGTATTGTTATTTCCACTCTCATTCACCTGAGGAAGTGGGTTTTGCCCACGAAAGCTCATGACCCCATCTCTGTATTTTGGTTAGTCTCTGAGGTGCCACGGAACCACTCATTGCCACTTGTAATGTGTGTATTCGGTGCCCCATTCACAGCTTGTGTGTGTAGCCAGCGGCAGGGTGGAACAAAGCAGATGGGGCTAAAGTAAGAGATGTCAATTCAAAACCCACCGAGCTCCGCCATGTCCGCGGGCCGGGCTAAGAGAGACAAGCTGTGGCCGGGGGCTTCCATTCACTCTTCTCCAGTCAACACACCAGGATGTTTAACACCTGCACTGCCCACTTTGCTGCTTGCTCAGTTTTACCATCCAGGGGTGTCCCTTTGAAAGGGCAATACTCCCGGTTGCATAGTGTGATGGGGTTCCGATATCAGAACTATTGGACAGTATGAACGTTCCCTCCCTGGCTTCACCCTAACTTTCCAGTCTGGGGGATCATGTTCACATTATTTCAAAGGAATTCTTGGGTTTTAGTGGAAGACATTTCCCTGGGAAATGTGTGATTCTTGAAACACAAGTTTCCGAGGGGCAGTCGTGTTCCTCTGTAACTTCAGAAACAACGTGTGGTCCTGTGGCACCTAGGAGACTAACAGATATATAAATAAAGATATAGAATCATGAACTTTCTTGAGCAAAAACCACCTCCTCAGATGAAAGGTGGCTGTGGCCAGGGCCTTCCATTCGCTCTTCTATCTATCTATCTATCTATCTATCTATCTATCTATCTATCTATCTATCTATCTATCTATCTATCTATCCCCATACACCCCCTCTATCTATCTATCAGATAGATAGATAGATAGATCTATCTATCTATCTAATCTATCTAATCTACCTTAGTGTCTAAGGTGACACAGGACTACTTGTTTTTTAGAAACACAAGATATGGCTTGGAAAATTCAAAACATTTTTTCCTCGGTTCAATTATTATTCAGGATTCCACAATTTATCTGCCATGGACCAGTTCTCACTGAACTAAAACTGGCTGGTGCCATTGGACCGGTAGAAGGGTGACATGAAGTTGTTCCCAAATAAAAAAGTTTGGGTTTCACAAAATTGCTGTGAAAAGGCCCCTTGTTCTCTGCTGGGAGAAGAAAAATAAAAATGTCTGAGCAGCTCTAAATGTTTGAGTAAACGATGTGAAAAGTCCTGCAGAGTTCCCTTGGTAACTCAAGTCTAGTTTTAAATATGAACACCTAAGCAGGTTTAACTCACCGTGCTGGGCTTTGCCAGATGGTTCCCAGCCTGTGAGGTTCTTCACCACCAGGATTTTCCGTCATTGCTTAGGTACGTACCTGCCAGCGATGCCCCATCTCTGTTCGATTTGCCTTGCCCCTCCAGCGTGTCTGGTGAGTTTCTGTATCTCTCTGCAGTTCCTGGCAGCCAGGCATCTGCTGCACAGACGGCCACTCAGTGCTTCCCACCTCAGGCAGGCTTCTCCGAGAGGCGAGGGAGTAAAGAGGAGAAATCCCCTCCCTGCTCTGAAACTGTTCCCGGCCGGCGCATGCAGCAATCAAGGGGACCAACTTATTCTGGGGCTAAATACCTTTCTTCAGTCTCCAGGGCAGGGAGATCTCACCCCAGCCACAAACCGCCTGCCAAGCTGCTCCCGCCGCCCCTCAACCCCGGAGGGGAACAGCCCCATGTGCCCTGCCATGGCAGTGGCCCTGGAAGGACCCTGGCGACAGACAGAGCCGGGCTGAAGCCCAAAGGGGAGTGAAGGAGATTGCAAAATAAACTCTGTGTGGGGAGCACAGGTGTGACAAGCTGCAGCTCAGAGCCCAGTGGCCTGACAGCCCCAGCTGGCTTGGAGCAGCCTGGTCCTTCCTGAACCCCACAGATGCTGGGGCTCCTGCATTCCTGGAAGAGATCTCAGGAGTCACCAAGTCCAGCCCCCTGCCCAAAGCAGGACCAACCCCAACTCAGTCATCCCATCCAGGGCTAGGTGCAGCCGGGACTTAAATCCTTCCTTTGCGGGGATGCACCAGCAGCTTTTGGGATACAGCCCCCAGAGGACCCCACAGGTTGGCCTGGGTGTTTGATAATGGTCACTAAGAAGCAGTCGAAGATAAATGCTGTGTCCTAAATGGGTGTCAACTGATCCGGTTCCATTGAGTTCTGGGATTCACCCTTTGATTTCATTGGAGCTGTTTGGATTTCCATTACCTGGGAATCTGGCCCTAAGCCTCCCCAAGGACCTCTGTCAGCTTTCTCCAGATGGGGTAACCTCTCCTCTCTGACGCGACTGCTGATTTACACCACCTATGCTTTTTGCCCTTGGAGGCCAATGGAGCTACGGCTGGTGTAGACTCACTGGGCATCTGGCCTCATTTACAGAAATTCAAATCAATTTTCCCTGCCATTTTCTCAGAGCTGAAGAGGAGGTGGCCGGTTGATGTTGGGACATTGGGGCTGTCTCTACACTGGGCCACTTATTCTGGAAAATCAGCCACTTTTCTGGAATAAGCTGCGAGCTGTCTACACTGGCCCTTGAATTTCCGGAAAAGCAACGATGCTCTACTGTATAAAATCAGCCGCTATTCCGGAAACACTATTCTGCTCCCGCTCGGGCATAAGTCCTTATTCCGGAACACTGTTCCGGAAAAGGGCCAGTGTAGACAGCCCAGTAGTCTTTTCCGGAAAAAAGACCCTATCGCGAAAATGACGATCGGGGCTCTTTTCCGGAAAAGCGCGTCTACATTGGCCATGGACGCTTTTCCGGAAAAGGGGCTTTTCCGGAAAAGCATCCTGCCAATGTAGGCGCTCTTTTTCCGGAAATACTTATAACGAAAACTTTTCTGTTTTAAGCATTGCCGGAAATTCATGCCAGTGTAGACACAGCCTGGGTGAACTTGGATGGGCCATGGAAATGGTCAACATTTGTGTCAGGGAGGAAAGGAAGTTGAGAAGATCTCCTTGGAGAGACAACATGTCCACCATGTCTCTCTCTGCTGATAAAGTCAGTGATCTGACAAAAGTTTGAGAGCCTGCTCTCCAAAGGCATTCCCAGGAGCACAGACATCGACAAAGGGTGGGCAAGGGGCTATTTCAGGATTGAGGCCTTAAAGGAGAGGATGAAATTCCCATCCATGGGCTGATCACAAGCCCTTCTTTGACATCATCTCACAATTTGGTTTTGTTCCTCAGAAATTTACGGATTCGTGGAAGCCAGGAGCGTGTGTGGGACAGAGTCAGTTTTGATGACGGTTGGATATTTTTAGCAGGTTCAGTTAATTGACATTAAAGAAAAGATGAAAACACAGGAAGACCAAAATCAAAAGGAATCTTTGCCCTGCAGCAGGAAGAGCAGGTGGACTGCTAGGACCACCGGGCTGATCAATCCCCTCTCCTTTGTGGACTCGGACCCTGGTAGGACTGAATGTCCCTGGGTCACTCTGGGTATGTCTACACTACCACCCTAGTTCGAACTAGGGGGGGTAATGTAGTCATACAGAGTTGCAAATGAAGCCCGGGATTTGAATTTCCCGGGCTTCATTTGCAACTCCGGTTGCCTACATTAACCACCCTAGTTCGAACTAGGGTGGTTAATGTAGGCAACCGGAGTTGCAAATGAAGCCCGGGAAATTCAAATCCCGGGCTTCATTTGCAACTCCGGTTGCCTACATTAACCACCCTAGTTCGAACTAGGGTGGTTAATGTAGGCAACCGGAGTTGCAAATGAAGCCCGGGAAATTCAAATCCCGGGCTTCATTTGCAACTCCGGTTGCCTACATTAACCACCCTAGTTCGAACTAGGGTGGTTAATGTAGGCAACCGGAGTTGCAAATGAAGCCCGGGAAATTCAAATCCCGGGCTTCATTTGCAACTCCGGTTGCCTACATTAACCACCCTAGTTCGAACTAGGGTGGTAGCATAGACATACCCTCTCTGTGGCCGACCACAGTTCACTCTTCTATTTTTTGCAATTGTTTAGTTTAACCAGAGCTGTTGGGCTCAACATCGGTACTGGGGGTACCAAATGGCCTGTGATAAACAGAAATGCCGACTACTTGCTTGCATCAACCCTTCTAGTCTCACACTCAGGAAACTATAAAACTTTTTTATTAAACACGTTTTTCATTGTGTTTTGTTTTGTTTGCAAATTATCCTGTCTCAAAAAAAGTTGCTCATTTGAATTATTGCTGTGACCTGGGATGGGAAAATATTTCAATATCTTGAAATGTCTCAGTAGATAGGAAACTCCATTTCTAACCACTGCTACAGGGCAATCAGTCTCCTTTCAATAATTCACTAAAACATTCACTACAATCACTACAATGGGAAGTGCCAGGAATGGGACTGGTTTCCAGAACATGGAAAGGGAGTGGCAGAGAGAGGAGGGACGTGATATTCACAGTCACCACAAGGTGCAGCGAGCACAGGGCACAGCCATACTCCAGACTGACCTCTGGGGGCAGAGACTGGCCAGCTGGGGACAGGGCTCTGCAAGGGAGTCTCCCCTTGCCCCCAGAAGTGCTGAGGGGAAACGTCCTCCAACTCCCTGACCATCCAGTCCCCGGCTCCCATCCTCTCTGCTTCAAGCTGCCCATGCCTGTCATGTTATTGGATTGGGAGGAGAGCAGCTGGGTCACTGCTGCACCTGTGGGGGGGGGGGGGGTCAACCGGGCCATGTGAGGGGTCAAACAAAAGCTTACTTTCTTCTGATTCTGTATCTGCTCTTCATATATCTGTATAATTTCTGTGTGTGGAGTTAGGAATCTGTAATCTGTATGGAGACTGGAAGTCTCTCTGAATGTGGTAGAGCATTGGGCAGAGCCCGGCCTATGGACATAATTAGCGAGGCCCTGTGGGACAATGGCACTCAATGGGCCAAGGACACACCTCGGGAATGGTGACTCATCCCTAGGGGCTACCAGCAGGGAACACAGGGATAGGCCATGGGCCAGGTGACCTGCTGTGGCCAAGGAGAGACCAGGAAGGAAGGATAAATTTGCCATGTGGCCATCTGCATTTTGGACTCAGCTCAGCACTTAATCCTAGAGACAGCAATGCAGGGATCGAAGGGCCAGAAAGAACTGTGGACCCATCCTGACCTAGGATGTGCAACAAGGACTTTTAAGCCAGCAGTAGCAATAAACCTTTAGATGGTAGATGCTAAAGGATTGGCTCAGCGTGGTTTGTGGGTAAGATCCAGAGATTAAATTGACCAGGGATCTGTGGCTGGTTTCTTGCAACCGGACAGAACTTGTTCAGGGAAGGTGAGATTGGGTGCTGGACCCCTCACCTGTGAATGAGGCCTGGGGCCATCAGGGGCATGGATATTGCTGGGGTGTCGGAGGGGTTTTGCTCATGAGGCTTCAGGCAGGCAGCTGAAGTGCTCTGTGGGACTGGTTTGTGGCCTGTGTGGAGAGGTCACCAGTCTGGGGGCTGTAAGGAGCCCTGGATTTGAGCAATTCGCCCTGAGCAGATGCCCTCAGCTGTGCCCAGACCCGGCTTGGTCTGTCACAATGCCCAAGACTCACCCAGGAAGTCCCCCCAAGAGAAGTGTTTGCCCTCTTCACCTAATACAGCCAGGGCAGGGGAGAGCGGTTGTGTACACTGGGAAATGCCAACCAAACAGACACAGCTGCAGCTTTCTAAGGGCCCACACCAGGGCCAAGGGTCCTTCTCTGTGGCTGAATAGTTCTGTTCCTCAGGAAGCAGCTTCTGGCTCAAGTACACGAAGGGGTGTTGCTCCCCCTTTTCTTGCCCCTGCATCAGCACTGCCCCCAGCCTCGTGTCTGAGGTGTCCATGAACACCATAAAAGGCTTTTCAAAGTCTGGGTTTACCAGCACTGGGGCTCTGACAAGGGCCTCTTTCAGAATACACGGAGCCCTCTAGCACTGCGTGGTCCGGCCCACCGTGTCTGGCTTCCCCCTCTCACACAGCTCCATGATCAGGGCAGTGATGGAGCTGATGTGGGGCATAAAACTCAAATAGTACCCTGCAATCCCAATGAAGGCCTGGGCCTGATGCTTGATCTGGGGAACCAGCCAAGGTTATGGCGCACGTAAGGTACCTCTGCCATCCTCACTGTGCACATCACCTTACACATCGGGACGTCCCTCCCTGCAATTTGAGCCCATTGCTCCTTCTTCTGGCATCTGCCCCCACTGAGAACAGCCTCTCTCCATCTTCGTTGGAACCCCCCTGAAAGTAGTTGAAGGCTGCTCTCAAATCCCCTCTCACTCTGCTCTTCTGCAGACTGAACAAGCCCAAATCCCTCAGCCTCTCCTCATAGGTCATGTGCTCCAGCCCCTGAATCATTTTGGTTGCCCTCCGCTGGACCCTCTCCAATGAGTCCACGTCCTTTCTGTAGTGGGGGGCTCGGAACTGGACGCAATACTCCAGATGTGGCCTCACCAGTGCCGAAGAAAGGGGAATAATCACTTCTCTGGATCTGCTGGCCATGCTCCTCCTAATGCGCCCTAATATGCCATTAGTCCTCTTGGCTACAAGGGCACCCTGATGACTCATGTTGTGTAACTGTGCTGTTAAATCCCTGAGAAAGAGGGACAGGTGTGTATCTAGATGGGGGTGTGTGAGGAGCACATTCTGCTCCCATTTACACTGGTCTAATGCTAAATTAACCCAGGTAAGATCAGCGGCGCTAGTCCAAGTTCCATCAAGAAGCTGAAGCTGCAATCATAAGCACTGAAGGACATTTCAGTTCTTGGAGGTTAAAATGTATCCCATTAACTTCTTCAGTGAAGCTTTGAGCTCCTTGTTCCTCAGGCTGTAGATGACCGGATTCAGCATGGGCGGCACCACGGCGTAGAGAACACCCTCCAAGAGGTCGAGATTAGATGCTGAGCTGGAGATGGGTTTCAGGTAGTCAAACAAACCAGTGCAAAGTAACAAGGAGACCACAGCAAGGTGGGGGAGGCAGGTGGAGAAGGCTTTGTGCCGGCCCTGCTCCGAGGGGATTCTCAGCACCGCTCTGAAGATCTGAACGTACGACACAAGGATAAAAGCAAAGCAGTTTAAACCTAGAAACACACCGAAGGCAATAACCCCAATTTCACTGCGGTAAGAGTCGGAGCAGGCCAGCTTGAGGAGCTGGGGAATATCACAGAAGAACTGGTTGATGACGTTGGACTGGCAGAAGGGTAACCGGAAGGTGTTCCCTGTGTGAAGGGCAGAGTAGACAATACCCACAAGCCAGGAACTAGCTGCCATTTGGACACAAGCTCTCCGGTTCATCGCTCTCTCATAATGCAGGGGCTGGCAGATGGCAACGTATCGGTCGTAGGCCATGACGGTGAGTAAGGCAAGATCAGTTGAAGTGAAGACTAAAAAGAGAAAGAGTTGGGTGACACATCCAGCATAGGAAATCACCCTGCTGTCCAGGAGGGAGTTGGCCATGGACTTGGGGACGGTGGCGGAGATGGAGCCGAGGTCCAGGACAGACAGATTCATCAGGAAGAAGTACATGGGGGTGTGAAGACAACGGTCAAGGACGACAGCTGAGATGATGAGAAGGTTCCCCACCAGGGCTGCTAGGTAAAGCACCAGGAACAGCACAAAGTGCAAAACCTGCAGCTCCCGGACTTCAGAGAACCCCTGGAGCAGGAACTCGGTCTTGGTGGTTTGGTTGGACATTTCCTTCTTCATCTGATGGCTGTGGAGAGACAGGGGTGGGGATTAGAGCACGAGACTGAGTCCACTCTGAGAGCGTGAGTGCCAGAGGCAAACGGCACTCCCCACTTGCATTCACTTGGCTCCTCTGCAGTCTCCTGGCTCCTCGACAATATACCAAACTGCATCCGTTTTCCCCATCTGACGATCGGGCTCAGGACACGGCTGGATAAAATGCAGCATGAAGGATGGCACAATCCCAGTGCAACCTCATTGTCCGAGCTGGCTCTGTTCCTGCCACCAACAGCAGGCCCCGGATTCGGGCATGAAACTAAAATACCGATGGTGCCTGCTCGCCGCCTGCTGCAGAAATCGCACAGAGCCAGCTCCCGTACAATGTGTCCTCTGTCACGCCGCAGGGACGCCCGGCTGCCTGCTTACGAATGACGTTAGGACACAAGGTTCCTCTTCCATCTCTGAGCACCGATGGGCCCATCACAGGGTGACCATATGTCCCAAGGCTGACTACAGGACACCTGGTCAAAAGGCTCATATTCAAATGAGCAGACCGGGCAAATGTCGTACAAACAATCGGACATGAAGCTGATGGAACACCTGTTAAAAAGGGAAAAAATGGTGTAATAGCATCATAGAACTGAAAGAGACATTAGAAGGTCATCAAGTCCAGCCCCCTGCTCTAGGCAGGACCAATCCCAACTTAATCAACCCGGCCAGGGCTTTGTCAAGTCGAGACTTAAACACCTCAGCTATGTCTAGACTGGCATGATTTTCCGCAAATGCTTTTAACAGAAAAGTTTTCTGTTAAAAGCATTTGAGGAAAAGAGCGTCTAGATTGGCATGAGCACTTTTCTGCAAAAGCACTTTTTGCAGATAAGCATCCGTGCCAATCTAGATGCGCTTATGCGCAAAAATGCCCCGATCGCCATTTTCGCAATCTGGGCTTTTTTGCACAAATCAAATCTGAGCTGTCTACACTGGCCCTTTTGTGCAAAAGCTTTTGTGCAAAAGGACTTTTGCCCAAACAGGAGCAGCATAGTATTTCCGCAAAAAGCACTGATTTCTTACATGAGATCGTCAGTGTTCTTGCGGAAATTCAAGTGGCCAGTGTAGACAGCTGGCAAGTTTTTCCACAAAAGCAGCTGCTTTTGCGGAAAAAGTTGCCAGTCTAGACAAAGCCCTCTAGGGATGGAGACTCCACTACTTCCCTAGGGAACCCATTCCAGAATCAACCCAGCCAGGGCTTTGTCAAGCCGAGACTTAAACACCTCTAGGGATGGAGACTCCACTACTTCCCTAGGGAACCCATTCCAGTGCTTCACCACCCTCCGAGTGAAATAGTTTTTCCTAATATCCAACCTGGACCTCTCCCACTGCAACTTCAAACCATTGTTCCTCGTTCTGCCATCTGTCACTACTGAGAACAGCCTCTCTCCATCCTCTTTGGAACCCCCCTGAAGGAAGTTGAAGGCTGCTCTCAAATCCCCCCTCACTCTTCACTTCTGCAGACTAAACAAGCACAAATCCCTCAGCCTCTCCTCATAGGTCATGTGCTCCAACTCCTGAATCATTTTGGTTGCCTCCGCTGGACCCTCTCCAATGTGTCCACATCCTTTTTGTAGTGGGGGGCCCAGAACTGGACGCAATACTCCAGATGGGGCCTCCCCAGAGCCGAATAAAGGGGAATAATGACATCTCTGGATCTGCTGGCAATGCTCCTCCTAATGCAACCTAATATGTCATTCGCCTTCTTGGCTACAAGGGCACACTGTTGACTCATATCCAGCCTCTCATCCACTGTAACCCCCAAGTTCTTTTCTGCAGAACTACGACTTAGCTGTTTGGTCCCCAGCCTGTAACTATGGTTGGGATTCTTCTGTCCAAAGTGCAGGACTCTACACTTGTCCTTGTTGAACCTCATCAGATTTCTTGGGGCCCAATCCTCCAATTTGTCTAAGTCACTCTGGACCCTATCTCTGCTCTCAAGCGTATCTACCTCTCCCCCTAGCTTAGTGTCATCCGCAAACTTGCTGAGGGTGCAATCCATTTTTACACTTAATTTGGCAGAGTTTATGTTCCTTTCTATTTACCTCACTAAGATTGTTTTAAAAGATGCCTTTTTATCCCTCATTGCTTCTTTTACGCAGTGGTTAAGCCACGATGACTCTTTTTCAGTTTTTCTATGTTTTTTAATTTGGGGTATACATTAAAGTTGGGCCTCTATTATGGTGTCTTTGAAATGTGTCCTAAGGGCACCAGGACGTCTGGTCGCACGAGCTAGTAACACCACTCGGTGACCTCTCTGCTGCATCATTTACCTCAGCCGCTTAATGCCTGTGCAGGGCCGTGGGTCTGAGGACAGGCCCGACGAGGAACAGAACAGAACATCTCTGGTCATACCCAACAGAGCCCCCAGCTCAAATCCCTCCAGCGCATCATTGACAATCTGCAACCTGACCTGGAAAACAAGCCCCCCTTCTCACAGCCCTAAGGAACAGGCCAGTCCTCGCCTGCAGACACTCCCCACCTGAAACAAATTCTGTCCAGAAACCACACGGCACACCCCTGACACACTCATCCAGGAACCCAGCCCGGCAATCAGCCCCGGTTGCAATCCTGCCACACTTCTACACAAGCTTCTCCAACACAGGAGACAACCACAACAGCCACCGCCTCAAGGACTCAGATAACTGCACATCCACCAATGTGATCTATGCCAGCAAGTGCCAGCAATGCCCCTCGGCCGTGTGCATTGGCCAAACCAGTCTCTGTGAGAAAGGAGAAATGGACACACGTCAGACATCAGAAATGGTAACGTGCATAAACCAGTAGGGGAACATTTTAACCTGCCTGGGCACTCAGTCCGGGATTTAAAACTCGCCCTTCTTCTAGAAAGGAATGTCAGCAGCTAAGTACAGAGAGAGAATACAGAACTCTCAACAGATTTTATTGAGAAATTGGACCGGTACTCTGGTCAGGACATTAACTGGTCAGTGCATTACAAAGCCAGTTTCTCCTGCCTTTACCGACCGCATTTCCACATCAAAAGCCAAGTATAGGGCACACCCAGCTTACTTAGACTCATTAAAGCGGGTCCTACAGTGGACAGAGATTGCTTCTGCTGTTCTATAGATCTCTTCACTTCTGTTATTTCCACTCCCATTCACCTGAGGAAGTGGGATTTGCCCATGAAAGCTGATGACCCCCTCTCTGTATTTTGATTAGTCTCTGAGGTGCCACAGAACCACTCGTTGTCTGTTAGTACATGTCTGTTTGGTGCCCCATCCACAGTGTGTGTGTGTAGCTGAGGGGGAAATCTCGCTCCCCTGGGGTACAGAGCCCCCAGAAGGGTTCGAGGCTGGAGGTCAAATCAAATCAGTGAGGCAGGAGAGAAACCTAGAAGAGAAAACTTTATTATGCATGCATGCAGGCTGGCGGCCGTAGCAGTCAGCCCTGAGTTACAGGGTTTTTGATCCTTTATACAGAATGCTTAGACAGTTCAGTTGTGGATTGTTTTTCTTTAACATATCAAAGTCTCAGCAGAAGTACTCTGAGACTTCTGTTCACCCCAGGAGTGCTAGAAGTAAGTTTTACAAAACAAAGGCACATGAGAATGTGGAGTGAGTAGTCTTACAAGGCAATTGTGACAAAGATAAGAGTTTACATGATTTTTTTCCGGAGGATCGGGGCCAGTGTAGATGCTCTTTTCCGGCTTTTCTAAAAGCTGGAAAAAAGCGGCGGACATTTTTATTTAAATGCCGCGGGGGATATTTAAATCCCCCGCGCATTTCCCTATTGCGATTTCAAAAATTACTATGCCCCTTCCGGAAAAGGGACCAATGTAGACGTAGCGTATGAGTATCCATGAATTTGAGAGAGTCATTTGTAAGGGTCTTTGATTAGAGTTAATTTGATTTCACTCTGATACAGGGAGAGAGGCCTGGAAAACTTTTAACCCTTACAGCAGTTTTCTTTTAGAGAGTTTTGATTTCTGCACAGTCCCCCCTTTGACACAATTGGAGTTATTGGATTTTTCCCACATAGCCAGCGGCAGAGTGGAACAAAGGAGATGGGGTGAAAGCAAGAGATGTCAATGCTAAATCCTCCGAGTTCCGCAGTGTCTGCAGGCCGGGCTAAAAGAGACAGGCTCTGGCCAGGGCCTTCCATTCGCTCTTCATCTATCTATCTGTCTGTCTGTCTGTCCCCACACCCTGTCTGTCTGTCTGTCTATCTGTCTGTCTATCTTCCTTCGTTCGTTCGTTCGTCTCTAAGGTTCCACAGAACCAAACATTGTTTTAAAACCCAAGATGTGCCTTGGAAAATTCAAAACATCTTTTTCCTCTGTTCAAACATTTTTCAGGGTTCCACAATTTATCTGCCGCGGGCTGGTTCTCACTGAACTAAACCTGGCTGGTGCCTTTGGACTGGCGGAAGGGTGACATGGAGATGTTCCCAATTTAAAAAGTTTGGGTTTCACACAATTGCTGTGACAAGTTCCCTTGTTCTCTGCTGGGGGAAGGAAAATCCTCCCCCCCCATGAAGCTCTAAAATAATGAGCGAGTGCTGTGACCAGTCCTGCAGCGTTCCCTTCGTAACTCGTGTCTAGTATGAAATGGCCCCCAGCTAGCCGCCCCTAAGTACATTGAATTGGAGTAACACACTCACCGTGCTGGGCTCCCTAGCCTGGGATCTATTTCACTACCAGGATTCTCAGTCACTGCCTAGCCATGGACCGGCCAGCGATGCCTCTCCAGCATGTCTGTGAGTTGCTGGGTCTCTGCAGTTCCGGGCAGGCAGGGACCCGCCCCACAGTCGGCCGCTCCCAGCTCCTCCTCAGGCAGGCTTCTCCGAGAGGTGATGGAGTAAAGAGGAAAAATCCCCCCCTGCTCTGACCTGCTCCTGGCCGGCGCTTGCTGCGAATAGGGGCCCAGCTTGTCCTGGGGCTAAATAGCCGACTCCGGTCTCCAGGGCGGGGAGATCTCACCCCAGCAGCAAACTGCCTGCCA